CAAGGTTTTAAAAAATGATCCTGGAGTTTTCCTTTAAAGCCGATACCATTAATTTCTGGGGGGAAAAAAGCTTCAGCTTGCATTTGATTACTGTGTCTGTCCTGACATACTTATCACATGATCAGGAATTGCTATCATTGTTTCCTGACTGTTAATGGGGACTGACGGTGTCAGCATCCAGAACCAAACCTGACAGGTGGGTTTGACAGCTACCAGCTGCCAAGTGTTGGCTGCCAGCTGTAAAAAATGACCTTGATGAAGCTTTTCTTAGCACAGGACATTATCTTGAGGGACATTTACATACAGATTGTGGGTGGGAAGGGGTGAAAGAATACCTGTAGTGAAGAACCATGGAGGGTGTCATGCTAACCTCCTTAAAAATCCGGATTGCTCCCCTGGACCCCCTGGTTTTAGTTCTTTCTGAGATTAGGAATTCTGATTTCACTTGGCCTTGACTTGTGGTCTCCTTGTTTCAAGGCAAGGATTCACAAACTGCTGCAGCCAGAAATGGTCCACAGTCAGCCTCCTGAAGAAGGCCAACCATGCCTTGTTTTGCCTGAAACAAGGAGACCACAAGTCAAGGCCAAGTGAAATTAGAAAGGCAAGCACTGGCAATTTATAGAACCTAATATGGGTATCTTAAGCTTGCAATACACTCATCAAACTTCAGCAGGACTTGGCCAAAATTCAATCAGCGTGTGGCCCTGCCAGGGCCTCCGCCCACTGCCGAAATGGTGAAATTCCACAGAAGTCTCCCGATTTTAACCGAAATTATGAAATCAATCTGTTTCACTCATCTGTAATTATCAATATTCTTTTGAACATTTCAAAGAACTCTTCAGAGCTTCTTTAACCTCAGTGTTCCTAAGACTATATATCAGAGGGTTTAACATAGGTATAACTATACTGTAGAACACAGATGCTACCCGGTCTTGCTGCAGGGCATAGCTGGTAGATGGACGAAAATACATAAAGAGGACAGTTCCATAGAAGACGCTGACAGCAGTCATATGAGAAGCACATGTATTAAAAGCCTTGTATCTACCCTGGGCTGACCGTATCTTCATAATAGCCAGGATAATGTTGATGTACGAGGCCAGGATGAGTATGAGACAGCTCATGGTGACCAGACCACCTAAAATGACCAGAATGGCTAAGTTTATGGTTATATCAGAACAGGACAGCTTATAAAGTGGTGGAATGTCACAGAAGAAATGATCAATAGTGTTGGATCTGCAAAAGTTAAGATGAAAAACACCAATGGTGTGCACAAGAGCAGTCATGAAGCCTCCAAAATAGGCAGCAATCACCATGCGGAGACACAATATGCTGCTCATGAGAATCTGGTACAGCAATGGGCTGCAAATGGCCACATAGCGGTCGTAGGCCATGACTCCCAGAAGAAGACATTCGATGGTTGCAAAGGAGACAAAGATGTACATCTGCATTGCACAGCCGACAAAAGAGATGACCTTGGTTTCACATAAAAAGTCATTTAGCATTTTGGGAGTGACCGCTGAAGAATAAGCCAGGTCTGCAAAGGAAAGGTTGCACAGAAACAAGTACATGGGCTTGTGAAGACTTTTGTCCACCATACCTAGAGTAATAATTCCTACATTACCCACCACGGTTATGATGTAAACATGCACAAAGATGACAAACAATGGAATATTGAGTGCAGACTTGTCAGTGAGCCCAGTGAAAATAAATTCCACTATGGAACTCTTGTTCAATGACAACATATTTAAATGTCCTGAATCTGTTCAGTAAAGGAAAGAAATGGAAATTATTTTCATTGTTTGATATACCTGAAGACAGTTTAGTAGCCTGACTGAAGCAGTTCCTCAGTTTCCAAGATCTCAAAACCTCTGTGTGATGATAGGGAGGTCTAAAAAAAATCCCAAACTGTGAGGGGAGAATAGCGGGAAAGGTGCTTAACACAATGCCACCCTCATTTTCCCACAATTAAAAACTTGATAACATGTCGAACCAGATTAAAATCTCCTGCCTGTGTTTAGGCAACCATGGAAGTCAGCACATTTACCAAAAAGCATAAATCAACTTAGAAGCTCAGGTTCTCGAAAGGACTTCAGACGAGCCCCCGTCATAAATAGTTTGTCATAAATAGTTTGTCATAAATGGGTTGGTGTGCAGTTTGGGAATACACAACTTTGAAACTGTGGTGTTACACTATGGCTGAACTCCCCAGTCAGCCTTCATATATATGCAGTATGTAGAAGAAGATATTGTTTGGTTAGAGACCACATATGACTATATTACAAGGTCCAGAAGGCTAGGAAGACACGTTAGAACCCTTGGTAGAAATACACATGTGTATATGTCATGTGTGACCTCTAGCAACTTATCATTTCGTTCTTAAGTTGATTCTAAATGATGTGCTTGTTTATGGAACGCAAACGCAGGATATCTGACTTTAGGGGGTGTGCCGCCCCAATGGGGCATATAATATGTTGTAGAAGTTAGTATAGATAGAAGTTTTGCATAGTGTGTTTGCCTATATATTTTCTCATAGTTAAATCCATGTGTTATCCTATGCTGCCATCTAGTGGCCTTTTGTTGTAATGTACATGTTTTTCTGTAATTATTCCTCATGTGACGATGTATTTCCCCCTAGTGTACGCCCCTTCCTGCTTCCTGTGTGCAGTACTTCCTGTGTCATGGCCACAGCTACTAGCCACATGTAACAAGGACACACATGTAATCTGCACAGTACGTAGGAAAGGCATCATTTTCTGACCGCACAATACTATAACCATTCAACTGCTGTTCCTATCATCTGCTGTAACCCTGATGTTAAAGAATAAACACCTCTTTTGAATGAATCGGTATTGACGAGTTCAGCTATCTGACGAGGATTGTCCGCAGTGAGTATATCTGCTTATACAGGCCAGGCATAGAGGTCTCAGCAAGGGATATATTTTGCTATCACAACAATCGGAGTCAGAATAGGGGGGTTTCTGCTGGACACTATAAAACACACCAGCAGACCTACAACACAAACCTGTTAATTGGGTGGGGAAGTTCTGCATCATCCTGCCCAGGGGAAAAGAAAAGGCTACTGCACAGGCAGCTAGGTGCTCTCGTTTTACCAATGAAACCACTAAGGTTTACTGAGAGTCACTTTAAGAGGGCCAGTGACTCTTGCAGTACAAGATCACACTTAATCTTCAAGTGACCCAAACTCTGAACTGTACCAAATACCAAGTGGACTCTACTTAAGTGCTTTTCACTTTAAGGGTTCCTTCACACCAGGTGCCTAGAGCTCCATTGGTTCCATAGGCTCAGTGCAAGGACACCTAGAAAACAATTGTATTCTACGTGCCTTGTTCACACCATGCTGACAGTAGAAGGGGTACCGCTGTAAGAATACCAGTACAACAGTGATTGGAGCTCAATGACTGCGGTCGCTCTTCAGTCTAGATTTTTCAGATGGGGTCCTTCGATTAAAGTAGATTGAAAAATGTATTTGTTACGAATGGTGGAGGGGGGTACTGTGGTAGTCCTGATGAGGCCACAAACTGCTCAAATTTTGTCTAAGTCAGCAGAAAATGGGATCAGTGTATGGCCAGCTTAGGTTATCCCTCCTGCATGTGGGTAGGAGGCCACCTGAAATAGAGTGAGGCTTCTTTTGCCCTCATGCTGTAGCAGTATGAGGGCAAGAGAAAACTAATTTTGATCACAATCAAACAAAATGGTGTCACCTGATCCTCCAGCACTGCACCCTATCATAAAACAATTATTACAGGGATAAACTTACTTGTATGAATCGCAGTATTATACTCAACGTTATGCTAGACATTTATAGCTGAAGGTGATTTATATAGAAGGCGGATTGTTTTTCTGTGTTTATTAACCTCTCGGGACTCAGTCCTTGTTGCATTGCCTAACATTTTCTCTGCATCTCTGAGGTTTTTAATGTTAAAAAAAACCAAAACAATAATTTAATGAAAATCTCCATAGATTTACCTAATGAACCATCAATATGAAGGAAAGTCAATGAGTCAATGTGTGTTTTCCACTGATCAATAGGCATGACGGATTCCAATCTATTTTACATTTGTTGTGTTATCAGGCCGTTCTTTGTAGGATAATCAGAATATTAAAGTGTATATAAACCCTAACAATGAAATTCTCTTATTTGATCCCTTCTGGTTAAATATCCCATTGAAGGAGTTTTGTTATAACGGTTTGATGAGTCCAGTAGATACCCACCGATCCTGCCAGATATCATGTTAGCAGATAACATCCTGTGTTCTCAGCCTGTGCTGCACTCCTATCACATACATTGTTCTCAACTATCTCTGAAGATTACAGAACACCTTCTCCCTATGTTATAGAGAAGAGGACAGTGGGAAATGTTTGTAGCTCTATCCTATGGTAGCATCACTGCTCCTCCATACATACAATATAGTGAGCGAGAGTTGCTACCATAGGACATGAAGAATGTTACTGGCAGGATTACCAAATTAAAGGAGAACTATGAGGTGAGTGATTTTCACTCGAGCCGATAGTTCGAGCCGACACGTGACAATGAAACTGTCACACGTCGGATCACACTGGGCACCCAGTTTTTTAAAGGTGTGAAGTCAGAAGCTGTGTCACACAGGGGAGGATAAGGACAGAGCAAAGACAAAATAGTAATATGTTGGCCCAGGAGGATTGATGAGTTCCAACAAACTGACATTTTCTGAGATGATGGGTCCATTTAATTGCCTGGTAAAAGGTGACTCAATAGAGAGTAGTCTAACGAAAAGAGCTTTGCCTGGACCTGATTTTGTTGTTTTTTTAAATTTTTTATTATACTACAGAAAAATGTTGCCATAAACATAACTTCCCAACTGTCCCAGATTAAGTGGGATTGTCCCAAAATTTGAACACGATCTCAGTGTCCTGTGGAACCCGGACTGTGTCCCAAAGTCAAGCACAGGAACCCCTTTTTCCAGAACTTGGCGTCTGCTCTGTGCAGAAACTCTGGGCAAAGCGATCTCCTGCCGACAGACTCTGCTTAGTCCCGCCAGGAATAGGCAGAGAAAAAAGTGATGTGGGACAAAGATTACTACAAGGAAAGTGCCAACTGAAGACTATTGTACCCTTCCAACCCCCACTGCCCACCATAAAAAGACACCATTAGCCCCATTGACCACCACCCATGTACCCCATCAGCCTTCAGTGACCACCACCAATGTACCTCATCAGCCTTCAGTGACCAGCACCAATGTACCTCATCAGCCTTTAGTGACCACCACCAATGTACCTCATCAGCCTTCACTGACCATCACCAATGTACCCCATCAGCCCTCACCGGCCAAAAATGTACTTCTCCAGCTAACCCTGACCAACAATATACCCCACTGACCACCAAAGTACCCCATCAGCCCCCACTGTACCCCTCCAACATCCACTGTACCCCTGCAGCCCCCACTTACAACCTTAGTACCCTTCTGCCCCTAACAGCTGACTCTATTCTATTGGTGTTCTATCGAAAGCTCCAACTCATCGAGCTCTCCAACGACCTCACGTCCGGTGCTCAGAAAGACTGGAGCTCTGTACGCCTGCTGAATAGTGTTAAAATACAGCTTTACAGAGCTCCATCAGTCTTTGTGTTTTGCAGTCTAACGCCATCTGGTCGAAATCTCCAACTTCCAATTACCTGGCAGTGAGGTAGTTGGAGATTTCGACGAGTTGGAGCTTTCGATAGAACACCGGCTTCCCAGCCAATCAGCATCGAGCCAGCTTCCCCGCCAATCAGGAAGCTAGGAGGTGGGTCATTACTCGCCGCCCAGCTTCCTGATTGGCCGGGAAGCTGGCTCGATGCTGATTGGCTGGGAAGTCCGTTTCCCGGACAAGCACAATAAAGCTAGCTAGACAACATGGAACCAGCTGCTCTGGCAATCAGATTGCCCGGAAAAACCAGCTCCATGACAGCAGAAGCACCTGTATCGGTACTTGGTATCGAAAAGTACCGACAGCAAAATATCGGAACTCATACTCAATACCGAAAAACCGGTATCGGCGTATCCCTAATGATCACCATTTACAAAATAATTAATGGTGACTGTAGTGATGGTAAAAAACTGTTTAATCGCAGGTCCCTGGTGAGGACACGCGGCCACAATTTCAGGTCGGAGAAAAGGAGGTTTCATCTGAAATTGTGGAGAGGGCTCTTTATGGTCAGACCAGTAATAATGTAAAGCTCCCCTTCCCCATGCAATGCTATCAGCTGCTGATAGTACTGACAGATTTAAAAAACTTCTAGACGTCTTTCTCTATGGGCACAACACACAGGGGTATGTATGTCCCTAGAAGAGTCCAACTGACACACACACAGGTGGGACTGGATGGACCCGTGTTTTCTTCCAACCTTGTCTACTATCTTACTATGTAAGATCTCTTGTGAGCCGAGTGGTGGTCTGGAGGAACAGTCAGTGTTCACAGTTTTCTTTTACGGGTATGCTTCTTATGGTGTTTTTATTTAATGACAGGGTCCCTTTAATTGGATGGCGAAGGATTGGAATTATTGTGTGTCCCCACAATTCCTTATCTATCTATCTAGAAATACACAGCTCATCACTTTGTGCCTCAGCCAATGTTTTCCCAATGTTAGTTGTGGACTCTCCCGCGTTCTCCAGGGAAGGTGATCTCGGTGCGCTCTGGGACCAGTCAGTCTGTTCATTGACACCTTGTAGCCAGAATTGTAATATCTCCTCCAGGAGGTCGGCTG